CTGTGCAGGGGATGTGAAGTGCAGGGATGGGTTGGTGTCTGTATTCAGAAAGGCATGGAAAACAAATAACGCGCATTCTAATAAAATAATGCGAGCCACTAAAGGGACATGGTTAGCTGCTTTCTAGTGGTTACAGACCATTTCATTCTAGGGACAAATCTTAGGGTTGTAAATGGACATGTAAAACCGTTTCTGGAGATTTTTTTGCCCTTATCTAAGCCACATACCTTCTATGTAGACATCAGAGAACAATTTAAAATATTGTATCAATGCATCCTATGGCACCTTTCACATATTTTAGTGAAAACTGTGATACTTGTTTTTTCAGGATTCTCTGATGAACAGAATGCTCAAAAGAACAGCATTTATTTGACATTTTTGTAACAATATACAATTTTTCACTGTCACCTATTTAATACATCCTTTCTGAAAAAATAGTAATTTCTAAGATGTAAAAAAAAAAAAAAAAACATACTGACCCCAAATTTGAAAACAGTAATGTATATTGCTGATATGTTTAATGGCAGGTTCTACTGTTTATAGGTGAACTATCCCTTTAAGAGTTGCACTGAGTCTGATCCATGAACACATTACTCAGCAGTGACCAGAAGTCAAAGTCAGTGTTAAGCCTTTAAACAAGGTGCTACTCCAGCATTTAAATGATGATTGAGGTCCCTGTGGTCCCTCTGATGTCACAGCTAACATGTTCCTGCTGCAATTATCTTCATACAAACTGAAGCAGTCCAGCAGCAGCACACTGGGTCTGCATTCAATCTCTCAGCTACAATAAATCTACAGACATACAGTTCATTGGTCTTTAGAGCAACGTGCACTGTATCTGCACACTATCCAAGCTGTCACAACCCAGATATAAGCATTTGACTATAAATAACCTGATTAAATTGGTCAGTTACTTTTAGTTTTCAAAAAAAATAACACTGAAACATCTTGTTTTGCACCACAAAATATTAAGCCTTTAAACAAGGTGCTACTCCAGCATTTAAATGATGATTGAGGTCCCTGTGGTCCCTCTGATGTCACAGCTAACATGTTCCTGCTGCAATTATCTTCATACAAACTGAAGCAGTCCAGCAGCAGCACACTGGGTCTGCATTCAATCTCTCAGCTACAATAAATCTACAGACATACAGTTCATTGGTCTTTAGAGCAACGTGCACTGTATCTGCACACTATCCAAGCTGTCACAACCCAGATATAAGCATTTGACTATAAATAACCTGATTAAATTGGTCAGTTACTTTTAGTTTTCAAAAAAAATAACACTGAAACATCTTGTTTTGCACCACAAAATACTATTGGAGTGGTGAAAACGAGAGAGAGAGACAGTTATGCATTATTTAGATGTCTTTCAAAAGGAGACAAACAGACGGGTTCTTACCTGTGGGGTCAAACTCATGCGAGGGGGGGACTGACGCCTTGTCACTTTTGGGCTTTTTGTCTGGGGGATGGTCCTTGCTGAATATAAAGGAAAGGTCCGCGAGCCGGGACGGTGCTACACGCTGCCCACAAGGCTATTGGGTGCCAACATATTGTGTAAAATTTAATTTGATTTTGAATTTTTTTTTTAATTAAAATTGTTTCTGTCCGACTGCAATTATTTAGCTATTTTTGCACACTTAATGCAATTATCTTCCCATCTGTCACAAAAATATAAAGGGATAGTTCATCCAAAAATGAAAATTCTGTCATTAATTACAGAAAGGTAGTAAAGACATCGTTAAAATAGTCCATGAGACATCAGTGGTTCAACCTTAATTATATGAAGCTACGAGAATACTGTTGTGCTCAAAGAAAACAAAAATAATGACTTTATTCAACGATTTTTCACAATACTCACAAAACTCACAATAACAACAAAACATTGCGCTTTTGTAAAATAATGAAAGCAAACAGGATGCACTTTCTGCTGTCTCAGTCTGTGAACTTGAGGGCGAAACGCCAAAACTCTGTGTATGCTTGCCTTACAGATATGCAGAGAGAGAGACAGTTATGCATTATTTAGATGTCTTTCAAAAGGAGACAAACAGACGGGTTCTTACCTGTGGGGTCAAACTCATGCGAGGGGGGGACTGACGCCTTGTCACTTTTGGGCTTTTTGTCTGGGGGATGGTCCTTGCTGAGAATACTTCCTGTCCTGTGCACACATACACACAAATGGGAAAAAAGGGTCACCATCACTGCCACATCATGCTATTCTTATCCAGAAGCACACAAAAACTAGACAGGAAATGTGGATCCACTTACAAAAGGTCACACTCATGCCCCCGTCCAAAAACAGGCCCAGAGACAGCAGACAAAACATTTCTGACCAACACAATGCAAACTACTGTTGACTATGAATTTGACGATTATAGAGAGCTATCGTGACTAGGGGTGGGTCAGGATGATCAACTAGTTGTCCATATACCAACATACCTTATATATATATATATA